AATCTCCCTTCCAGGCCGACCAGCAGGAGGCAACCAGTCGCTGTGTCTCTCTCACATCAGGGTTTCTTCCTCCCTCCCTCCCTCCCTCCTCTCCACTCTCTCTGAAAAGCAATGGAAAAAATATCCTTAGGTGAAGATTAACAAAAAAATAAATAATAACAACACAGGGTTGGAGACTTTAGCTCCTAGATCAGTGCCTCTAAGGAAATGGCTTCAACTGCCCCCCCTTCTGCTCCTGCCCTGGGCCACTGTCCCCCACCCCGAGCAGGACGTGAGACAACACCTCTCTCAGAGCACAGCCCTGCGGACGTGAATGTGAGTTCTGTCCCACCAGAAGGGCGATCGGTAGCTGTTTCCTGTATTAAATGCTTTGGACGTGTTCTGCTGGGAAAGGCAGCCAAGAAAACGGGGTTCTTTTCCATTTCCTGCAGAAGGTTCTGCCTCAGGGCTCTGCGCTCACTGGAGAGAACATTCTGTCCCAGGACAAATCTGTCACCCCGGGTACTGGGAAAGGTCACACACCCAGGGCTTGTTTTCACAACAATGAGACCCGGAGCTGAGGGCTGGAGAAGGGACTGGTCCAGCCCACGGGGACTTCCCCCTCCCTCCCCCTCACTGACTCCCTTCCCTCTTCTCCACACCCTCCCTTCCCTTTCCTTCCTTCCCTTTCCTCCCTTCCCTTTCCTCCCTTCCCTTTCCTCCCTTCCCTCTCCTCCCTTCCCTTCTGGGGCCATGCTGGCTGACTGAGGGGAGTGAGGTGACCACAGTGGGTTGACAAGAGAAGGTCCTGGATGGCATGGTTGGGAGGCAGGTCATGCTGGGGGATTTCTCATCAGAGCTTGGAGGTAGCAAATTAATTGAAATACTTCCTCTTCATGGTAGGCACCCCAGTTTTGTTGCGTGAAGACTGCTAAGCCTCAGTTTTAACATTCCTCCAAATGCTACTCACATTGGAGTCCCAGGTCCTAGTAGAAGATTCACTCCAAGGCTTTCGCCTTCTCGGGGGACTGACAATGCGGTTAAGGCCCGAGGCTCCAGAGGTGGGTGGTTTTGTGTTCAAATTCTGACTCCGCCGTTTTCTAGCTATGTGATCTCAGACGGTCTGGGGTTTTTGCATCTCTAAACCTGTTTCCTCATCTGTTAAATGGGGGTGATGGTATGCGTTATGTAGACTATCACACAGATTAAATAAGATAATATGTATGTATAACGCATATGGCACCGTTCCTTGTTTACTGGTCGTGAAATCGCCCGTAAGTAGAACTACGTTATTTCTGTTTAGAGGGTTTGCGGCGAGTGACCACACCAGCTCACGCGACTGTAAGGTGAGAGAGCTGCAGCACAGATGGCTGGGTGCCCATCCTGTCTGCAGCCACGCACCCCCCAGTAAGATAGCCTCTGCCTTCAGGGGCACGCGGCTGCCGGGGAGAAAGACTACAGTTCCCAGCCTCCCTTGCAGCTAGGTGTAGTCATGTGACAAGGTTCCGGCCAATGAGACGTGAACGGAACTGTTACTGGGCAGTTTCTTGGAGTCTTTCTGTGCAGACTGCTGGACTTCTGCTACTTTGTATCCATCCCTTCTTATTCTCTTACCACGTTTTCTGCCCAGAGCGTGGCTGGGAACATGAGGATGAGGGACCCGTCCCAGGGATGGCAGAGCAGTGAACGGATGACCCGTCCCAGGGATGGCAGAGCAGTGAGCCGGATGAAGCGGGATCCTGAGTATTTCATGGAGCCAACCCAGCGCCCCCCCTGCAGACTTTCACATGAGGGAGAAATCAACTTCTGTTCCACCCGGTGCTCTGTTAATTGTGGCCAATTTTCTTTAGTGAATCAGTAAAAATAAATAAATAAATGTACCCAAACTTACAAATCCGAATGAATTCTGACCTTCAAAATAATCATTCTCTCTCTACCTTAGAATCATGGCAATGCTTCTAAAATGCATGTATGGATCAAACACTCATAAACATTTATAAATTCTTCTTTTGGAATTTCCTTCAGGGACACACACCAGTTTTGCTACGTTACAAGGTTCCTAGTTTATTTTTTCCCCCCGGGTCGTACTGGCTTAATTTCATCCACCTGATTGGTTTCTTTATGATTCTTAACTATTTCCCAAAAGCAAATTCACCCTCAAAAAATATACGTAATTTATCACCGTAGATATGTCATAGAATGAGCTGTGGCCAGCAAAGTCGGTTCCGAAAGAAGAGTCCCAAGGTTTTGAGCAACAGCAGAATCAATCGAGAGTCACACCTCCACATGGAGCCACCTTGACGGGAACTTGGGTCCAAGTAAACGCTCTCCTATGTCTTTAGAAATTCCTGTCACTGCCCTGAAATGCCCACGGGATGCACCATTTGCTGGGGAATTAGAAGTCATGGCTAAAGCTGTAACTGGAAATGGATTACTCTGAGCGAGAGAGTTATATGGGCTCTTTGTTCATTCTTTACACTGAATTCTCTGGGCTGTGCCCCTCCTCCTGATGGTGGCCTGGCCTTGGTAACTTACGTGCTCAAGGTCACTGTGCAGTCAGTGGCAGAGCTCAGGTGTGCGCCCGGCCCCTGCATGGCCGCTGCCTCCCGGCTGGCCCCCAGGGAACAAGTAGACAACTACCTACGCAGGGCTTAAACACCCTGGGGACACAGTATTGTCTAACCCCAAACTTTTTTTCAGAGAAAGTAGAAATTAAATTCAGGTAAGACTTGAAGCCTGGGGCACCTGGGATACAACAGGAATAAAGGCGGCCCAGGTACACCTGTCGCTGTGGGTGTCGCCTATGGGTCTGTATGTAAAATAGTATCCGACAGCCTCTGTCGTAAACTCAGAATGAATTTCCTAAGAAACTAAGATGCTTTTGAAATCACATATTCTCCTATGATGGGTTTCTTGATAGAGTTTAGTCTATTTGTTTGGGGTTCCGACGTGCTGGGTGAGATCATAGACTTCATGTTTTCCACCTCTGTGTGAGGATTGGGAAGAGAGTGATTTTGTCCATCCCCCGGGATGTATAACTTGAATGACTTCTCATAAAATACCAATAGATATTACTCTTCACAGGGGAGCAAAGGTTGAGGGTGGGGGTCCTGAGACCGACCCAAGGCAGCGGGAGAAGCTTTGGGTCCCAGGTAGGGTTGGAGCACAATGTCAGGACCCAGAATTTTATTCAGGTATGTTCATTCTAAAAGAAGCTTTCCTGGAGGCAGATCCACATGTCCAGATCAGTGCGCGCCCCGAAGTCTGGACTTTGACAACGTATGCGAGTAGGCGTTTATTTCTACCCGGCACCCTCTTCCTTACACCCGCCTCCCTCACTGTGGGCTGTATGTGCAAAACTCCGCACTGCGGTTTTATGATTATGTGCCTTGCATCAGGAAACACACTCGACACCTACTGAGCTCCGGAAACCTTCGTAGGTGCTGGGACCTGGCAGGTCCTCAGCAAACACGGATGGGTGCCTGCGTCTGGCTCCCGGGAGTTGTCAAGGGACCTGGAGCCAGGAGAGCGTCCTAGCAAGAGACCCCGGCCGACTCCCCCGGGGCTGCGCTGGGGTCCGGCCCCCCATCGTTAAATTAGGACGCCACACGATTTTGGTTTGAGCCGGTGGGTAACAGATCATCTTTCTCTTCATATGAAAGCTCCTGCACCCTTGGCGACTGCATTTGCTTTTCAACAGATACTGTGACTGTCGTTGATCAAACACCCAAGGAACCCGAGACCTCGGAGACTGCAGGGGGTGGGTTCCCAGGGCCGAGGGGTTTTGTTTTGTTTGTCCTGCTCGTTCATCCCCTCAGCTAACTTCTTGTCTTGCCTGAGTAGCCGGAATGGTCAGAGGAGATTGTTGACAAAGTGCCAAGTTACCCAAGAGACCAAGACTGGAAGGAAGCTGAGCAAGAGGCGTGAACTCGGTCCGGTTGTCCTTCCGGAGACCATGAGGTTAAACATCGGTGGGTATTTTTTTATTTTATTTTACTTTATCTTATTTTATTTATTTATTGTTCCTAACTTGAGGCTACTTTTTCTATTTATTTATTTAGAGAGTGGAGGGTAGGAAGGGGAGAGAGAGAGAGAGAAACATCGATGTGGGAGAGACACATCGGTCGGTTGCCTCTCACACTGGCCCCGACCCGGCCGGGGATGGAACCTGCAACCCAGGTACGTGCCCTTGACTGGGAATCGAGCTTATGACCTTTTTGGTGCAAAGGCCAATGCTCTAACCACTGAACATACCGGCCAGGGCCATTGATGGGTATTTTAATAGAAATTAAGTCATAAATCTAGGGAGACAAACAAAATAACTCTCCCAAATCTGCACCCAGACAACAGAAAACCCAAAATCTACAACGTGAAGAAATTCGCCTCACTTACTGGAACCCCGGATCAAAGAAACTGTATCAAGAAATCTCTCTGAAAAGCATATTCTGCTCCCAGAGTGTCTGTTTCTTAGGAGGTGAGTCCAAGCTTTTCACAGACAATGACAGCCTCCCCCCGTCCCCCCACTCACTCACACCCTGGGGTGTGGGGTCAGGTCCCGGCACCCCCGGGACAGCTGTCGAGTGAACAGAAAACCCGTCATGAGGCCACCCCAGCCTCTGTGTGGCCGCTCCCCCGGTCAGGACTCACATTTGTGGGCTCTCAGCTTCTTTTCGTCCACAGGGATGAGGTCCAGGTAGTCCAGGTAGTACTCGTAGCTGTAGTGCGGGGTGGAGGCGTTGGTCCCGTTGGCCATGTCTGCGGCGCCCGGAGCAGCACATCCGAGCTACTGGCCGCCCGCGGAGCAGATTGGTCAACGATCTCCGTAAAGCCGTCCAAGTGTGTCTGTGGGTCTACAGGCTCAAGGCCACCCACGGGCCGGAGTCATTGGCTGGAGAAAGGTCGGGGTGGGGGGCTGGGCGGGGGATGTGCCTCAGCCGCTGGGCACGCGCTAGAGCAGTCCATCGGCCCCTTCCTGGCAAGCCTCCAAGACAAGCGGAGCTGCGAGGCTGAGGTGGTCACCGGGCAGCCTGGAGTTGCCCCTCCGTGTGGCCGGGACAACAGATCCTGGGCCCCTGGGAAGACGGGATGCTGAGCGAGGCCTTAAATACAGGGTGTCCCCCAAAACTGTATACACACACTTTGAATAATTATGAAGGCAGTGTTTATTAAATACATTCCATTTTCAAAATTGAGCTATCAGCTGTTAACGTATATACATTTAAAATTTAAAAATAAATTTTTTTGGGTTTGCATTTTAAATATGTCTTTATTGATTTTGTTAGAGGGAAGGGAGAAGGAGAGGGAGAGAAAGAAACATCAATGATGAGAGAGAGTCCTGGATCCGCTGCCTCCTGCACGCCCCCTACTGGGGATCAGGCCTGCAACCCGGCATGTGCCCTGACCGGGAATCGAACGGTGACCTCCTGGTTCATGGGTTGACGCTCAACCACTGAGCCACATCGGCCAGGCAAAGTGTGTATACATTTTTGGGGGACACCCTGTATATAAAAGGGTTAATAACACCAAAACGAAAGCCTAGCAGTGCCCTTGGCCCACATTCAGGCAGTAAGTACTTGGTGCCGTTGAGCAACCAGCAGATCACTGGCTGAGATTCATCATCCGAGGGTGGAAACTGTGACGTCGGCCCTGAGCATGTAACCTCTCTCATGCCAAAGGAACCCCCACCCCTGTTGAGTATCCTCCCCCCATTTTTATCTAAGCCCCCAAGACCCAGCCAGTGGGCTGCATGGGTTTAGACGGACGAGGCTGTTTGTCTGGGCCGAGGTCCCACATGGGTGGATCGAGATCTTGGGAAATAGGGCCCCATGGTTGACCCAGCTCTTGGGTGAGGACAACTGTGACAAGGGTGCTTCTGGGTTCTGTTAGGGCCTGTCTCCAAGTTACACACTCGCTGCTCTAGGAGTCGCAGACGCAGTCAAGGGGAGCATTTTAAATGTTTGAAGGAGCAGGAATAAATGCGAGAGGAACCCTGGAATCGAGCCTTTGAGAGTCAGGAAGTTAAAATACTCAGAATTATGGGGACTTTCCCTCCAATACACCAGCTTTCTAGCATCCTTGATACAGGTCTACACCGCCAGAGTGGAGCTAGGTACTGACAGTGTAGACAGCCAGCCCAGGTCACCTGGCCTCTCCTGGGTGGAGCCTGCACACCCAGCCCTGCCTCCAGGAGGAGACAGTCCCGGCACCCTGCACGCACCCGTCTGCCTCGCTCCCCGCATACTCAGTCAGGGGCAGTGGAGTGGGGGGACAGCGCATGGAGCTGGAGCCAGACAGCCGACCTGGATGCTGGCTCCGCCTTCTACAGTTGTGTGGCCTGGACAGGTGACCCCACCTCCTCCCTGCAGCGGGGTTCTCCTCATGGTGAGATGGCAGGACCCTCACAGGGGTTGCCCAGGGCGGTTGGCAGGACACAGGTGGACAACCAGGCACAGCAGCACCTCATCCACAGTAGGCTCCCATTAATACAAGCCGTCACTGCCGCCTGCCAGCGAGGTGGCCTTTCCTCCCACCTCACCGCTCCCCTTTCCCACCCTCCATCTGGCTCCCCTCCTCTCCTGCGTTACTTCCGCCCTCGCAATCCATCCGTCACTTCCCGGGACAGCGCCAGCCGTGGATGCAGAGGAACCTTTCATTTCTTGCCTCCAGCTCTCCGTGCCCTGCAGCTCCCTGCACCGGCCTTTTGGAGAGCCCCTCGAGAAGAGTGTCCCACCTCCAGCTACCATCACCGCCCTCCTGCAGCCTGCGCCCCCACCCACGGGCGCCCCCACCCACACGCGTGCACGCACACACAGAGGACTATTACTATCAGGAATGCACTCACAGAATGCAAGCCGGAGGCCTGGGAACACCGGGGGTAGTTTAAGGACCTGAGAGCCAGAGAGCCCAAGGGGCACACTCCAGTCTGAAGGCTGAGGCCAGGCAGGAGAACTCGTGTCCCAGCTCAGGAAGTCCAGCAGAGGGGAGTCAACCTTCTTGTTCTAGTCAGGCCCTCAGTACACTGGTGAGGCCCATGCGCTCTGGGGAGGGCCCCTGCTTTACTCAGGCCCCTGGTTCAAATGCTCGTCTCCTCCGGAAACACCTCACAGGCATGCCCAGAAACAGTGCTCAGCCAGATACCTGGCACCCGTGACCCAGGCAAGTTGACAGTAAAGCTAACCTTCCTCCCTCCCCCAGCCCTTCCTACTTCATCCTTCCCTCCCCCAACCCTTGCTTCCTCCCTCCCTTCCTTCCTTGCTGCATTTTCCAATGGAACATAATTTAATTTCATTTGTTTGGAATTTTCACTTCTACCTGACAAAATACTGATTGTGAAAATGAACTTATTACTCTGATAATAACCTTGACTTTAAAATACCCATGAAAGTGCCCTGGTAGGAAAACAGATTTAAAAGTTCTCCTTTGACATTGCCCGGCTGGCATGGCTCAGCGGTTGAGTGTCAACTGGGATCCAGGAGATCGAGGTTCGATTCCCGGTTGGGGCACATGCCTGGGTTGGCAGCTTGACCCCCAGTGGGGGGCGTGCAGGAGGCAGCCGATCAATGACAACTCTCTCAGCATTGACGTTTCTCTCTCTCCCTCTCCCTTCCTCCCTCTGAAATCAAACCACAATCTCCTAGATCCCAGGTTGACGCTCAACCATTGAGCCGTGCCCAGCCAGGCAAAATATATATTTTTTAAAAATAATAATAAAATAAAATAAATAAAAATTCTCCTTTGAGGCCTTGCCGGTTTGGCTCAGTGGTTAGAGTGTCCTGTGGGTTGATTCCAGCCAGGGCACGTACCTGATAATTCGGTTGCAGGCTTGATCCTGGCCCCAGTCGGGGGGTGTGTAGGAGGCAACCAATCCATGTGTCTCTCTCACATTGAAGTTTCTCTCTCTCCCTCTCTCCCTCCACTCTCTCTGAAAAGCAATGGAAAAAATATCCTCTGATGAGGATTAAAAAAAAATAAATAAAAACAAAATAAAGGTTCTTCTTCAACATTAGTATGAGCTAATACCCCTGTGAAGGCCAAGTCTCGATAATAATGACACATTTATATGAACAAATACCTCGAAGACCTTGACCGTGAGCACTGTTTTTCTTCCCACTTTGATTTATAACCCAAAGCTTGAAGGTGAGGTTGTTTTTCTAGGGTGCTTTCTTTTACAGGGGGTGTGGGTGCTTCTTAGCTGTTCTGGTGACTGTGGATTGACTGCAGGGGTGCCAGGGGTGAGGGTGGGGGTGGAGGGAGAAACCTGAAAGGGAGGAAAACAAATGCTTTGGGAACAGTGCCCAGGGCCAGCCCTGTGTTAGATGCACTTAGTGAACAGCGCCCAGGGCCAGCTCTGTGTCAGGTGTGTTGGGGCAGAAATAGAATAGTGGGGACTAGCTGTAGTTATAAGCAATACTAATCATGCTCTGTTAACCGTGATTGTTCTGTTCTGATTTCAGAAAGCACACTCCGACCTGGCTGAATGTTGTACACCCAGGACACGGGAATTATCTTTAGTATGGGGTCCATTCTCTTTATCCGAGAACTGCCCATCATCATGAGAAGATTAACAACCTTGCTGCCAAAATGATGGAGTCCCAGAGGTGCCTGCCCTTTGTGACCCCCAACCCACACTGCCTGTAACCTGTGAGCATTTTGCCTTGCCTACTTCCCCATGCCTGTAATTCCTACTTTCCCATGTAATCTTTCCCATGTAATCTACCCAATATAAGCAGCTGGCTTATGCGGGGCAGTAGGACAATTTTTATGTAGTCGGATCCTGCTGCTCGCCCATGCTGCAGGCAATACTGGAGCAAACACTCATATACAATTCAACCCTGTCTCTGCTTAATTGACTCAAGTGGTTACAGGCAGCCCAGACCCATTGTGTCCGGTTTCAGGGGCACTTAGTGAGCAATGCCAGGAGCCAGCCTTGGAGATGGGGGTGGAACCCTTTTCCCAACAAGAGAGGAAGGGTGCTGAGTATGTAGCAGACCAGGTGTCCACACATCTCTGCAACTAACAGGACCGATGTTCTCTGAACCACACTGGGTCTCAGCTTTCCTATCTGCAGAGTGAGACTCGTGGATTCAGCATCTCGATGACTCCCTCCAAGCTCAAATGTATTACAGTTTTTCTGAAAATCCCATGTTTTTACTCTTTTCCAACTTGCAGGCGGATGAAACATCCCTGTTAAAGACAGGAAAATCGTGATTCCACACATTAACCAGCAGAGGGAAACAGACTATTTAAAGAACATCCTGCCTCAGGATTTTTAAAAAGGTGCAGCATAAATATCCACCCCTGGAACAGATATAAATATCCACCCACACTCTTCCCACAGCACATGCTACCCCTGAGGAGGGCTCTGACTGTGGTGGGTCCCTGAGGCCTCAGTGTGGGGGGCAGCATCCTCTGGGTGCCAGCTGGCAGGGGAAGGCAGCTGGGGGTGCCAGGCCTCCCTGACATCTCTCTTCCAGTAAGAGTTGGACCAGGTGGTCCTCAAATGCAGCTGCACCCAGCGCTCTCAACGCTAAAGGGGACACACTCCTCACTCCTATAGCCACACCTCACTGTCCTCCCCATGGGTAAGTGCGAGGAAGTGCGTGCAATTACAATCAAATCCGCGTAATCAGAGCCATTAATTTCCCAAGCTCTCCAACCGCCAGAGCACTTTTAAAGAGCCACCAATCCTTCCAGCAAAATTGTCAAGGTCTCATTCCTGTCTTCTCCCCTTTTTCCTGTTCCTTCTCAGCCCCCACCGACTCGCTGAACCGCGTCTGGGACGGCGGGCCGAGCAGTCGGTGCTTTAACCAGCTCGCAGGTGACTTAGGCACCT